TTTAGATCACGTGGCAGTTCTTTAGTTATGTCAAAAAGTTCTTCACAGTCAGACTTCTCATTCACCAAAATGGATCTTTAAAGAACCTTGAGAGGTTCTTATGGGAAACAAAAGAGGTTCTTCTATGGTATCAGATGAAGAAACCTTTCGGTTCCATTCAGCACCTCTTATTTTTGAGAGCACACTGCACCATAAACCTAAGCTAAATCTAAAATGTGAACCCACCCTCTCCGCTGTCTTTACTTTGCGGCGAACATCTGAATCATTATTCCTGCCGTGCGACGGCGTCGATGGAGTATTTTTCTTCATAACTGACAGCCAGAAGGAATCTGCATGTAATTACCTGGAGAGTCAACTTTAAGAGGGAAAGATAGCACATCCAGTCAACTCCGAATTAAAATTAATTTATCATCTGCTGTATTTTCAGCCGCCACTGAAAAACAACCTGTCTCACAAATCAAACAAGCGGGGGGAAAAAGGAAAACGCTTCCTCGTCACGATGGCTGTCAAACGCTCAGCTGCCTTCAAACTGCAGAAGCTCCATATAGCTTTCTTTTCTCCTCATAATAAGCTCATTTACATTCAGACTCATCTCCTAGTACAAATGAATGCTCTTCTACAGTTACCTCCCTTTCATTTCAGCTCCAGATGAAGTATAACGACAAAAAAATTGCTTTATTTTGGAATACTAGAATCAATTATCATTAATTATAAAGACATATGGATTATTCTGCTGAACTACTTCAACGTCAGAGTTGAAAACACATTTTGGACTTAAACTGACTTGGACTTTAGTCTAAAATCTCTTCGCCTTCACTGTTTTGATTATGTTTATTTTATTAAAATAAATTAATTAAACATCTCATTTTGCCACTAACAAAGCAATCATAAAACTACCGAAACTTTACCAAATGTTACAGTAGTGACTGTTTCAGAAGTGACAATTTTAGCTTAGCTCATTCAAACAGCTTTGAACTGTGCGCTGTGCGCACATAAAATCATAATATTCTTTATTAAAAACACAAGTTTGAAGAAAATATGCAGTGATGCAGTCCCACTTCCTGCTCTAAAATGCAGGGGCGTGGCTAAAAGAAGGCTCCGCCTACAGACCAAAACTCTGTTACGGTAGTGACATGAAAACGTTGCATGCCTAGTATTTACTTTTTTATAGGAAAGTATTTCATTTAAACTTTTATTTGATGTATTTTATATTTTTAAGCTTATGATAAATCTATCTGCATTAATGTCTTATGATAAATCTAAATCTAAAACTTTTAAAGAAATCAGAAAATATCTTAAATATTGCTAAAAAAGTAAGTATTATTTTAGGGGTCAGGGTTTTGGGACACACACACCTTCCAAAAGAAAGCACCCTATAAATGACGATTTTGTACATATTTAGCTTATTACTATCTGCATTAATGTCTTTGGTTTAAATGGATCAGAACATTATCCTTGCAATCTAAAAATAATATAAAGCTCTGAATACTTTGAATACTTCTGAATTATTATATTTTTAAATAGCTTCTTTTTTTCACTGTGGTACTGCAGTTCGAACTAATTCGGTAGAACGATCCATAAGGGGCTCTAGCTACAGCTAATTAGCAGCACAGCTAACATACGCGAGCTGTAGAGATCATGTTGCCATCAACGTTCAAGCTATGCAGAAGTAGTTTGTGTGAAACAAGCATTTATACATATACATACATAATTAAACATACTAATTACATAATGATAAAAATAAAAAAAGCCCACATTCCTTATTTTGTAAATCGATCTGGATAAAAGTGTCAAACAAATAAAGGTAAATACTGCACTGAATAATTTCCTACAGAACTGTAATAGAACTGAATGTCGAGATGTGCATGTAGATGTCAGATGTACGGGGATGATAATGATGGTGATGTGGACTACAGTACGGCTGCACAGCTCCAGGTGCTGGATAAGAAGCATGGAAGAATCCAGCTGTGATGGGAAACCCCCCCTCGTTATCCCCCCTCCCCCGCCCCCCCAGGACCATGATGCTATCCTGCATGCTCCAGTGACCACAAGCTTGCCCCATTTATTCTTACACCGAGAGCATTAGGACTTCAGGGCTTAGGCAATAAAACCTGACTCATTTATTACATATCAGCATGAACGTTACTCATTAACCATATTTTAAAGAGCTTTTTCTTATTTTACTTTTTCCTCTTGTGTTTCACTTATGACATTTGTGTGGATACGTGATAAAAACGGTCAGAATTCATTTATTTCCATGACCATTTTTTCAACTTCTGTTTAGGATTAAACAGACTGTACCTTTAAGACACATGCAAATGAGCTCATTTGCATGGGTCTGCAAAAACCAGATTCAGATTCATTTCTATATATGGATCGATCAAACTGCTGTCCTACAGAATAAATAAATAAATAAATACAAATATAAAAAAACCTATTTGGAAAAGAATCAAGTCTTCAGACCTGGTTAAAGATTTAAATTTGTCATTAGTCATTATTTTTTACATTAAAAAAAAATACTGTCCCACATTTTCATGTCACTACTGAAACACAGAGTTGTAGTCTATGGGCGGAGCCTTATTTTAGCCACACCCCTGCATTTCAGAGCAGAAAGTGAGACTGCATCCGTGTCCCTCATGGCCACATGGTGAGCAGTTAGATCTCACTGTAAATGTGTCCCAAAGTCTGAAAATCAGTGTGAAACATAAAAAATTGTCACTGCCGAAACATTCTACAATTGGGTCAAATTTTGTGTTTTAATAAAAACATGATTTATGTATGTACAGCTGTACAAAGTGGTGTTTGCTAGTCATTTCCGAAACAGTCACTACTGAAACATTTAGTAAAGTGTCAGTAGTGTCATGATTGTTTTGGTAGTGAATACAATAATAAAATAAACCTAATTAAGGTAAACACAAAGCAAAAGTCTAAAGCCCAAGACAGTCATGGGTTTCAACTCTGAAACTGAACCAGTTCGGCAGAATGATATATACATATATGTATGTGTACGCACGCGTGTGTGTGTACATATATATATATATATATATATACAGATAGAAAATATGATGATGCCATGTTTAGATAAATATATATAAAAACATGACTTATAAACAGCACTATTCTACATCGTCTTACATGCAGCATCGGAAAGGAAACCCAATATGAGCAATTTGCTTCAGAGACGAATACAGGCGACATCGCTGCTCCTCTCCTCTCTACCCATCATCCCTCTCTCTAGAGACTAATCCGGCCCTCAGCATGACCTCATTTCGAAGCGCTGTGTAGGGGAGAAATCCTCCCGTGGTGTTAAACCAATGTGCGGAATAGTTCGATAAAACAGCAGGCAAATACATGAGGGACAATGCCTAAAGTAAGATAAAATGTTCAATGTTCTGATAGAAAATATGATATAATGATGCCATGTTTGGATAGAAAATTACCAGTGTAGTTTCAGTAATGACAGAGATCCGCTATGAACACAAACAATATACACTCCAGAGAATGAGGTGCAGCAGAAAAACAATGCTAAAAAAAATAAAATAAAATAAAGCATCAGTTTGGAGGTTGGAGTGGTAACACATTTCATTTAAAATCAAAAACTTTCTTTCACCATGTTAGTTTATGTTCCTGCTCATACTGAACACATCATGTCTTTTAAAACATTCTTTCTTTCCATTGACACTTCAGCCACTGAAATGAAAAGAAAAAATGGTGAAAAAAACTGACCATTTACAAAAAAATAACTGAAATAATAAACAACTACTGGAATTTTTTGTCTTTAATGACCAACTGTCCTTTGCTGGATTTCATACAGTAGCCTGTACACTGTGGTCTGTGTAAGTAAACCAAAAAAAAAAAAAAAAGTTTGTGTAAGCTGTTTATTATTATTTATTTATTGAAATTTTATTGCTTTTAATGTTATTTTCAGCCAAGTGTGTTCGGAATTTCTGTTTCAGCCAAGATTTTTTGTTCCGGTGTATCACTAATCATGCCAAAATATCATGACGTTATGTTTTTACCATATCATACACCTCTAGGTCATAGAAGTGGGGGGGTGTGTGTGTATTGTACTATGACCTAGACACATGACACACATGCTCCCAGTAGAGCATGTGTCAGGCTCCAGTCTTTGTGGGTCAAACCACTGCAGACTTCCGCTTACTGCCTCATTAAACACACCGGATTCAGCTCATCAGCTTATCAGCAAAGCATTCATGAACCAAATTCAGAGCGTTAGCCAAGGGTAAATGCTAATCTCCACAGCACTTTGGCCTGGAAGGTCCCCACCCTAACATGCTGCTGTAGAGGATGTGTTAACTTCAAATCAGCAAAACACGTCATCTGACTGGGGGTGCTGAAACTTCTGCATACGACTGTATTTTAAAAATCACAAAACAAGCCTATGAGTGCAAAATGCGCTGTGAGTCAGCAGCTGCACTGATACTCAGCATAATAAGAATTCATCGCCTGCATGGGGAAGGTTCTGTCCACGCTACATTAAGGGCAGCACAGCTTTAGAAGACTGTAGAGCACAAACGCTGCTCAGGGGGGCAGCAACCAACTATTACTCAACATGCTTAGGGCCCGTTTAACAACTCCACTGTCTCAACACGCAACATAAGAGATGGAAGGATATATACAATAGCAATATACCTGATAACATGCACGTGGCTTTTTGTACAGGCCTGACTTCTGTCTGCAGCACAGAGCATGTTTACAACAATCTCATCTATGCTGGTACATTAAAGATGGTATTAATGTAGGACACCACTCAACATGTTTAAAAAGTTGCTGTGGCTTGAAAAAAAAAAAAAGAAAAAAATATATACATTATATCATATTATATAATACATAAATATATAAAATGAATATAATATAATTTATTTCTTTTTTCTTTTCTATAAAGAGACGCTCCGTTCAGAGCGTTTTTTTAACCTGTTAAATAACTTGTGCAAACGGTAAGTTTTACAATGAAAATGGCACAGAAGAAAAGCACTGACCTGATCACCGTAGAAACGGGCATTGCAGGCCCTTTATCCTTCAGCTCCTGCACATTCACCACCTGAGGGACAGTCTTTAGAGTGGACTCGGTCAGAGAGGCAGGTGCTGCAATGAAATTCAGACGAATTAATGACCAATCAATAGAGCGAGAAAACTGTACTACACTGATCTCATGGTGGTGACTCAATTACACTGTTTTTGAAACTCGGATTGAAATCAATGAGAAACAAATAATGCTCAATTAGAACAAAGAATACAGTAGAATAAAATTCAACATGCACTCATTTCCTAACCCAAATGATTCTCAGCTATTTTAAATCCCAGTATAAACATTTCCTCCAGTCACTTTTATCAGCGCATTTTTAAAAAATGGTTCTGAATTTTATGCAAAATATTAAATGGCAGCGAAATTTGAGATTTTATGCCAGCCGACAAAAAGGTCTTTGTAGATTCTCATTGCTGATGTGGTGTTTATACAAAAAAGTGCTCAGTAATGTTCATATGATCAACACAGTCATTCTGACAGACTGTAATACACTACAGGAAGTGTAGGGGGCGATATGGCTTCTATTGTTTCATATAAAAAGCGCTCCATATGGTCAAATTATTGTTTCTTGCTTGTTGATAGAACTTTGAACGATAGTTATGGCAAAGTGAGAGGACGTGAAAAAGTTTGAACAGTTGAAATAGTTAATTAATCTAATAAAAAGAAATCATTACTTGCAGCCCTGTATGTAGACTATATTAGGAATGAGTCAAAATTTGTACAAATCCAACAGTAAATTAGTTCATACTTGGCTTCTGACTGATCATCTGTCTGTTCAGAGCAGCTATGGCTGCGGCCTGCGGGGCGGGTAGAGTGGTGGGCGTGGTCTTCTCTGTGGGTGGGGGTCCATGCTTCACCGTCTTGGTGGCCAGAGCGGTGCTGTCTGCACTGTCCATATTTATCTTGGGAAGAACTTTGGAATTGAAAGACACAACCCTCAGTCATGGAAACACTTTGTTACCGTGCAGAGATTTTATACAACAGTGTCCAGATTCATAGTCATGCACAACAAACCTAGTCTTGGACCAAACTGCAAAGCCCACAGTGCTTTATTTAAAAGGCCCATATCCTATATTTTTCCCACATTTTGTTTTTTTTACCCCAAAGGATAAAATTACTGTTACTATGTCTTTAGAACTGATCTATGTAAATGAGCTCTGTTTTGACTGGCTCCCCTACATTGTGCCTCATGTAGGCTGAACAGGTGAGTTTATATTAAAGCACTGACTTAAGAAAGAAATCTGGGCAGTCAGTATGTTTTGGAAGAATTTTACATACTTTGTCCAACTCCTAACATTTTTCCTGTATTTTATTTTAGGACCATTCAGGGCATTTGTGTGGATTTATGCACAAAAAACTGCTTGAATAGGCAGAGCTAACCTGCTGTGGGATGAACAGGTGGATTTATGTAAATGCTTGATGGTCATAACATCACAAAAACAACCAATTTAAAGCAGGTTTTTTCAGCTTAGTTTCTATGTATGTGCTGTATGCACTGGCAAGTGAACAATATGTTTTAAAACTTTAACAACTCTTACATGTGTCAAACAAAAAAAAAGTGAGTAAATAAATTCAGTTTTCCATGATACGGGCCCTTTAAATTTCCATTCAGCCTAGGCTTAGACTTAACTCTGTCAATGCTGAAGCAGGGACTGTCACCAAACTTTTGACACACATTTTGATTCACATTCTCAAATCAAACCTGGGCTGCTGATGGGCCCGAGGCCGGTCTGTACTCTGCTGAATGGAGTGGACTGCAAGGGGAATCCTGGCTGGATAGATGCAGTGCGAACCACTGCGGGGTGCCGTGGGGTCATCACGGGGAGGGCCGGTGGCTCCTCCTCCTCAGCCAGGGCTAGCGGCTCCTCGGGCTCCGGAGGTTGCGAAAGAGACGAGGTGGAGCTCACGTCGTCCAGATCCTCATAGTATTTGGGCGAGAGGAATGCAGACCGGGACAGATTGGCTGAGAGAGAGATGTGTTAAAGGAAACCAATTTAAACTTTACTGAAACTTGACTGAAAATCAAGAATCAAACCAGAACCTCTACAAATATGCCAGATAACAACATAACATTAATATTGATCTAGCAAAACTTGACAAAACTGAGCTAAACTTGATAATGTGGCAGTTTTACAGCTCAGTCTGATTTGGTCAGACTCTGAAAATTAGACTACACGTTTGGCGAATGGTGTTTGGTTCATTTCTGGCTGATTCCAGGTTATTTAGGTGTTTTTCTGTCACAGCTGCCGACTGAAAAGCTGCTGGTGGTGATGACAGTTTGGGAATTTAGTGTAAGGAGCTGGAGAACGAACTGCCAGCTGTGCAGAGAGTGAGCGGGGCTCGTTACTCTGACGTAGCAACAAGCTGCTTGTTAAAAACTATAATTTGGCAGAAGGAACTGCGAACATTAAAACATATTAAACGCTGCGTTCACAACTCAGTTTATTAATTTCTTACTTTATTTATTTAACTGTTGTATATATTAAATAAAATAACTGAAATTTCACTCTTTAATAAGATATCTGAAATTGCACTTTCCAAAACTTAAGTATAATGGCCTCCTCTATTTGCCATTGCCATCCAATTCTTTCCTACTGCACTGATTTAAATGGTCTTAAATGGGTTTTTAGAGCCACTGCATAGGCTTTATCTGAAAAACTATCATTTTGAGCTGCATATATAAGTGGATAATTTAAAATAAAAACACAGAAATAGACTGAGATGTTACATATTCTCATTCAAAGTGTGACAATGATGTCATTCTACAGATGTTTCTAAACAAGCAATTTAAATAACATTAAAGTGTGTGGTTTATTGTACCTGGAGCAGTGGACCGGACAGGTGGAGTTTGCCGCTTAGACAGGAAGTTCCTCAGCTGAGACTGCTTCACTGGAGTCATCTTAGCTGAAGAAGAACATTCAGAGCGACAGAGGCAAAGTGAATGTAATGTTACTCTGGTGCCCCCATGTGCATGCTACGGGAATATTAATAGCGTGCAAAAAGGCTTACATGGAGATTTTGAAGGGCCTTTGGATGTGGTCTCCAGACTGGTCTTTAGAAGGGTGTTTTTTAGACTCTCCAACTCATTATCCAAACTACAAAACAGATAGAAATTCGGTCATATTAAACCAAACACTTCACATATACCTTTAACTATCATGCATTTGTAGCTTGCCTGTATCTCCTAAACTGTTACCTCATTCAAAACAAAACCTGTGGACACTTGCATAAAACAGCTTACGTGAACTGGCGGGAAAAATTGTCCCTTTACCTAAAGTGAGCTGTATAAAATCTCTCCAAAGAAGTGTTTAAGTGTAAATCAAAAGAAATCCAGCTTTTAGTACATCAGTTTTAGACAATTTTCAATTTAATCAATTCAAAATTTGAATTTAGAGCTTAAAATGAATCCCTCAGGAATTTAACTTAAGATAAGATGTTTTATTCAAGCAGCTACTGACGTGTAATATATATACTATATATTTATTTCATTTATGATCTGATTTCAATTTTTGGTTTACTTTGTAAGAAAACCTGTAAATAGGTAATTAAAAACTGCACAAACAAAAGAATTATTTTTTCTTCATTTCACTTTATGAACCTTACTGTAAACTTGTGTTTCATACTTTTACATTTTTTTAATTCAATTTTTTTTTGTTTTTGTTCTGGCTGGTTCATTTTTGTAACAAGAAAATTAGTAAATAACTGAATCTCATTTACGTTATGTATGTTATGTTTTTTGTTTTAGTGTTTTTGTCTGACTTTTTTGTCTGAGAAAACTAATCAATAAATAACTGAACACTCTAACAGAATAACAGGGTAAAAAATATTTGATTTGATTGTTTGCCACTGTGAGTGTCCCGGGTCCTCACCTTTGTGATGAAGGAGTGGACGCTGGCTGGCTCGGTGTGCTCCAGGTGGAGGTTTTGTTATAAAGCCTCAGGCTCTGCAGGTCCCTCACCAGCTGGTCCAGTTTCTGTTTCTGCTGGTTGATGATGTCCATGTTGTTGGCCAAAGACGTATAAAGAGCTTCTCTCTCAGGGACGATCATGTGTCTGAAAAGATAAAAACACCATAAAGGGAGAGTCACCAAATGTTGACATTACAAGCCTAATGTGGTTCATTCGAGCTGCCAAACACTTAATAATTTGTATTATTCACATTTGTCTTATTTGCTCAAATTGGAGACAAGTCGATTTGCTCCCTTTATAAAGCAGTGTGCTATAGCTATATGAATGGACAACAATAATTCAATAACATTTTGGTCCAAAGAAGAAAAGGACCACTCAGATTGTTATGAGCCTAAAGCTGAAAAGCCAGGGAGATGTATTAGGCTACGTTTACACAGCAGGTAAAAGTGGGCCAAATCTGAGCTTCTCATCAAATCCGATTTTTTTGTTTGGCTGTTCACATTAACATTTAAATGTGATCTATGGGCGACAACAGTCTGAACAGATCAGCTCCTAAACTGACCCACATGCTCAAAAGAACAATGCTTAGGTCGCTTCATGTGGATCATCCAGAGGTAAAAAATCACGACCGCCAACGAACACCAGTCACTCCCGGAGGGTTCAGTTCCATCATGAAGCTTCATTGACTGACAGCTGGGCTCATCACTCAGAGTGGGTTCGAGCTCGCTGTAAAAAGGGCTCAGTCACTTCTTTGGCTCGTGTCCTCGGATTCTTTAAACTTTGCTTTTGCTGTTTCAAACCACCACTTTTCAGTGTAGATAAATGTAACGTCATTACGCTCGTTACAGTGAACTGTGCTGCCTGTCACTGCATACAACAACAGAACCAGACGGTTAAAACAGAAGTTAAGACACCTCTGGTGTTTATCTTAAAGTTAGGACAGTATTTAGGACTTTTTGTCTATTTAGGGTGTTAATAGATAAGATGATGAACTTAAGAACTGTTGTTCTGTAATAGCTTCTGTCATAAATACAGTCCTAACTGAAGTTGTCATGGTAACTGAGTAGATAAGATATCAGACTTAAGAAGTTTCTGTAATACAGCCCCGGTTCTAGACTGGCCTGCCTGCAGTCCAGAACTGTCTCCCATTGAAAACGTGTCTTGTTAAGCTCAAAATACAACAAAGTTGCACAGCTGAAAAAGGAAAAATTCCTCTTTCAACACTGGATCAGTTTGTGTCTTCAGTCCTTCCACGATTATTAAGTTTCTTAAAAGGAAAGGTGATGTGACAGTGGTAAACATGCTCCCGTCCCAACTTTTTTGAATGTGTCACGTCTGACTGACATCTCTTTTTGGACGGCAGTTCACCACCTGAAGCTCAATCCTAGCAAGACTGAGCTGCTATTCATCCCTGTAACTACAGGTCCTCATCATGATCTTGCTATCTCATTCAAGAACTCTGATTGTTCTGTCTGAAGATGCAAGAAGTCTCGGTGTGATTCTGGATGACCAGAATCGCTCATCGTTCTCAGCTCATATGGCGAACCTGACTCAGTTGTGCAGGTTTCTCCTGTACAGCATCCGGAGAATTCGTCCCTTTCTCACTCGAGAGGCCACCCAGGTGCTCGTTCAGTCTCCTGTCATCTCAAGGCTTGACTACTGCAGCTCGCTCTTGGCTGGTCTTCCTATTCGGGTCATCAGACCCTTCAACTGATCCAGAATGCAGCAGCACGGCTTGTCGCAATCGTCCTAAGTTCAGTGACGTCACTCCACTGCTTCGTTCACTTCACTGGCTTCCTGTAGCTGCATGCATCAGATTTAAAACCTTGATGCCTACAAAGCCAAAAACGGACCAGTCCCTCCCTACCTATTGGCAATGGTCTAACCTCTATCTGTACCTTGAGCCTTTCAAGCTTCAAGTACAGCTCGGCTTGGCCCGCCGTCTTTCAAGACGCGTGGAAGACAAGTATCAAGTATCACTTTTCTCTGTCCTGGCACCCAGGTGGTGGAATGAACTTCCACTGGCTGTCCAAACAGCAGACTCTCTCGCGGTCTTCAAATGCAGATTAGAGACACATCTCTTTCTACTGCACTTAAGTGAGCACTAAGTTAAGTACTAATTGAAATGTATTATATTGCAATTATACTGTGTCTAGCTGTTTTTTTTCTCTCCAGGTGTCAACATAGGATTTGTTTCAAGCAATATCTGAGCTCACAAGTAGCTTCTACTCAAACCTATTTGTACTAGCTAAGATACATTCTCTGAGTAGACAACAAAGCACTTTTGTACATCGCTTTGGGTAAGAGCGTCTGCTAAATGCTATACAAACATGAAAACATAAATGCATCAAATTTGGAATGAGCGTATATTTACAACAAACAGCGATAACGTTCATAAGGTGAAACATCAAGAATTGTGTTTTCGTACAGTTCTCAATTGAATAAAGTTTAGAGAATTTAAAAATTACTGTTTCATGTTTTGGCATTGCATATCCCACGCCAACTTTTTTGGAATTAGGTTTGTAGAACTCAACAGTGCTGGGATCTGTTTTGAAAGGCGTCAGGGAAACTCACTTCTGTTTTTTTTTCTTCTCCAAGTGCTTCTCCCATTCCAGATCCAACACATCATTGACGTCCTCTACAGCAAACTTCACATACTGGTATAGCCTGCGGATCTCCTATTTCAGATCAAAAATAAAAAAAAATAAATAAAAAAATAAAAACAGATTTTGTATTTCAAAACCGTGACATAGAGTTACGCTTCTGCATCAGTGCTATTATTTCCCTTTCCTTGCAGTGGGTCTGACCTTCAGTTGTTGCTCACTGCGAGGGTCCAGGGGTTTCTTGTAGAGAAGCTGCAGATAGTCCTTATCTCGGTTCAGTTCTCTCTGAGCCCGGGCCTCCTCCACTCCTGCAAATCCCTCCAGCAGGGTGGTCTTCAGGGTGCTGATGTCTCCATGCAGAGACTGCAGTAAAAACACAACAGAGGTCATCAGTAACTGAAGCTCTACCGGCTCATCAGACACGCCTTATACCAGACTGAAGCTGATGATGCAGTGTTATCTATAAAAATAAACAAAAGAACAGGACGAGCACAAAATTCAGGCGTCTAGATGACTGTTAAACTGTTTTTCGCTATGCAAATGAACTTTAGTCCATGTTTACAAATAACGGTATGTCAGAAGCCACATAATCAAGTCTATTAGAGATTAATGAGGCTAGCTTTACATGGTGACACTTTCATGCAACTTTAGTTGCACTGGAGTTGCATAACGTAAAGCATCCTGCAACACACTTGAAACTTAGCTGCAAAAGCTGCAAACGTGTTAACTCCATGAAACAAGCCAATTTAAAAGCGGATGGCATATCATGTTGAGAGATCAGTGAACAAGACGGTTTAGTGAGAGGCTGAAACTGATTCAAGGTTGGTAGTTTTTCTTTTTTGTCAGTTTCTTGAGTCACAACAACAAACAAATTTCTCAAACCTAAATTTTTCACAACGAGCTGAATTAACCAGCCAGCTGACACTAGCATGAGCGAGACATCAAGCAGGCTTAATATTTACATAACAGATTAAGAAATGCAAACATATATTAAAGAACTTGAGATAAAAGAGATGAAAAAATAAAACAACCTTGATTGCTTTTGAGTTGCTTTGTGCAACTGTAAAGTATCACTTATTGTGATAGACTTTGTGATGACTACAGAGAGCCTCACTATTCCTGCTTAACTGAATTTAGTGCAGCATGTGTAAAATGTTGAATACAGATAACTGAATTTATAGCTGTTTAAAATGTGAGCTTAATGTTCCACCCCATCAGATGTCAGAAAAAAATATATATTCTGACCTATTCTGTATGGTAAAATTCTTCCTGAAATATCATTATATAATATTTTGCCATATCGCCCGCCTCTACTGCAAAGTTGCATGGAAATTATGTTGCAGGCAACTTTCACTATGCAACTAGTCACATTAAAGTTTCAGTGTGTAAAACCAGCCTAAAGAAGCAAACTTCAGAAACCAAGCTCGTCTTAGCTGATGGATTGTACTGAAGGAAAAGGTGCAAGCTGTGGAATTTTCTGCCATTCTTTTAAATTTTAAAGTTTTCATGAACCCATTTTATTCTGAAGAAACTCCATCTTAAAAATTTAAAAGCAAGTAACCCTCTCCTCCCTCACTGCCTCACTGCATTCAACTACAGTAGTAGTCCCTGTTATTGGACTCTCATTAAAATCCATAGTGAGTTAATATACTGCACCTCTGTGGTCTCTTTAATCTCCAGAGAGAAGCCATGGAGGTCCTCGCTCTCTTTGCGCAGGTCCCTCATCTCCTCAGTGGTGCCCACACGGAAATCCGCCCGGTTACTGCGTGCCTTCAGCTCATCCATTTCCTTCTGGAAATGAGCAATCTAGAAAGAAAGCAACAGCAAGTTAAATTACACCATCACAGAGTTAAAGAGCAACACCTACAATCTTCTGACATCCAGCCTTTTTCGGTTAACGGCCGCAGGCCAGCATAATGTAATCATGTGTGGGTAAACAATAGAAAGACTCTCTCCAAGCAATCTAAAATAATATTCTTCAGGCTAAAACTACCACAACAGCAGGATAGAAATAACTAGTTAGCTTAGCTATTTTATCAGACATACGGATGATACTTAAGCTGTGCACCCAATACCATCTTTAGCTAAATGATGGAGAGCATTAGGCCTGGGTAACAGGGTGATGGAATCGGATATCAGTGATGATGGACGAGTGACCCGATGGTGATGTGTAAATGCGATAATTGCTGTTTTGGCAAAAGAGCTAAGAGACAATTAGAGAAATTATGACTAATTTACGATTATAAAACGGATAGTTCTAGTACTAAAACCTGATTGGCTGAGCCGCATTCGAAGCCGTTGTAAAACCCACAATATGACTGCCTCACATCAACTGAACTCTATAAAAGTCTAAAGAATGTCACCTGAATGTCTCACACGCTTCAAATGTCTGTGTTTCAGTCAGAAGTAGCATCAACCCCAGGCTGAATCCCAAACGGCTCTGTACTCCCTAAAAAGTGTGCTGTGTAACAAAGTTCAGAAATTCTAGCTTCTGCTGTCGAATAGTGACTGCTTTTCGAGTATGAACGTGGATGAATCCCAAATGACCATTTGTAGTGATATTTTGCATTGTTGGGGTGCAGGAATATATAAATTCCTGTGTAGTGCACTATGTAGGGAGCAGGGAGCCGTTTGAGATTCAGCCCCAGCGTGAGAAAAGTGGCGTCATCAGACTGGCAGAAGAAGTGATGGTGACCAAAAAGTACTTATAAACTAAAGGTTTTTGCATTTAACAGTGCTGTGTTATCATATGTTCACTGTTATACGAAAAAAGTTAAAATTTCATGAAAAATCATGAAATATCTACAGTTCACAGTGATGGGTGACTGAACACTCTTCTCCTCATTCAGTGGTCAATGGTTGCTTAGCAACAATACCATACTCTAAAGGAACTATATTTCTTGGCAGAATACTTATGTCAATTATTAATAATAATAACAAATAATTATCTAATAAATTGTGTATTTGAATCTATTTTTTTGTTGGCCGCTGTTTTATAAAAGCAATAAGCCACTCAAGGCAGTGCGTTACTGTGATTTTATCACAGGGAAAGGAGTTTTAGGAACAACCAAAGAACACTCTTCCCCTTGATAAAATTGCAGTAACCCACAGCCTCTCATGGCTCACTGCTTTACTAAACAGCTTTAAAGATATGTTGGGAAACTGGGGTTCATGTTTAAGAAGTTTGCGTCATCTGAAGAATAAGTTCCTCTGATCCTTGTCTGTGGTCGGTGTAATAGACAGTAGAAAAGTGCACGTCCTGAAGAAAACGCAGGAATTACGCAGCTTCAACAGTTGCCAGGAGGTTGCTAGGGTATTGCAGAACACTTAGTATTGTATTTCAGGTAATTGCCAATGAGTTGCTATGGTATGCCAGGTGACTGCTAATGTGTTGCTACATGGTTGCTATAATATACCGTTGGATTACAATAGTGTTGTGCATTAATCACTAATAATACAGGGAGATTCACTCGAAAGAGGCCCCGAATATTCTGTAATAACTCTTGCTAGGACGAAGCAATCTGAACAAAACAGCGTGCAATGAGCTCCTCAGTATATGGATCTTCGAACAAGCTGGGATGCCCCTGTGTCGGAGCGATGAGGTAGACGCTGGACAGCCGTCGCAACATTTAACCTCCATTTGCCACCTCCGGGTGCATATCCCCGTACCCCTTCATGTGTTTGGCAGAAAACGGAGATCACTTCCAGCGTTGCATGTAATGCAGTAGATTACACACACGTCAAGGTATGTAGTGTATTTTTTTTAGATTGCTTCATCCTAACGGGAGTTACAATAGAATGTTCAGGGCCTCTTTCAAGTGAATCTTCCTGTAGCTAAATAGTGAAACTAGCAATAGTGCTAGCTGTGCTATCAATAGCATAGCAGAAATAATTCATATAGCTAACTCGTATAGCTAACTTGTGATATCTAACTTTACCTAATGAAAATACTATATTTAAGCTGCGCACCTAGTTCATGTGAACATTGTGGCATTCAACTTTTTTCAACCCGATTTTCTCCCCAATTTAGTCGTCTCCAATTCCACCCGCTAGTTAGGACTCCCCCAATCACACGATGCTATCAACGCTAGGAGGGTGAAGGCTAATACAGGCTTCCTCCGAGACCTGTGAAGCCAGCCACCGCTTCTTTTCGAACTGCCGCTTACGCAACGTCACTGGACAGCCGAACGCGCTCGGAGGAAAGCGCCAACCGCCAGATCTGTTACGTCAGCTAACAGACGCCTTCGCTGACTAGCATCGCGCTGAGTGATGGGGGGAGAAGGAGTGGCCATCCCACCCACCCAGAGAGAGCGAGGCCAATTGTGCTCTCTCGGACTCCCAGCTACGGACGGCTGTAGCATCATCAGGGATCATGTGATTCTAGTGATCATAAACCATCAAAATAACATGTGATGAGGTACCAGACTGAGCTTTCTCCTGTTATTTCATTAGCGCTTCTCTTTAAAGCACAAAATAAACATAATAAAAAAATATTTTTTCCGTTTGGTGTTCCACACAGACAGAATTCAGTAGAAAGAAGCTGTGGATGAAAGAATAACTCACCTCCTCTAATATTCCAGTCAATACGGGATCAGAATCTTTCTTCTGCTGCATTTGTTTCTCCACAGTTTTTACTGAGAGGACCTTTAAACATAAATTTAAAATAAATAATTAAATATCTCAGAAATAAGGACAGCATCAATTCAACTCAAAGCACTTCTTGGCGAACTTCACATAATCTGTAGTGGTATATGTAACCTGTGTTGCCGTAGCAGCAGATGGAGCTGTGGGAGCAGCCGGTTTCTGCACTACAGTGGATGGAGCGCTCGTCTGAGCAGGACGGGTCACTGCGAAAACAGACAAAACAGACTTTATATCTCTGAACAAACAAACCATTCTACAGTACCCAACAATAATGTGTGTCTCTCCTGGGTCACAGACATCCTAACCCATCAGCTATCACCCTACTCACACTCCTTACCTTGTTTTTAATAACGTTTTTTCTTAAATTCTACCAATGGTAAAAACTGTATCTCAGATCTGCTCACCTGCAACCGCAGCTGGTTTGCTGATGCTGAACTGGGGGGTTGGCTGAGCGCTGGTGTTCTGAACTGCTGGTTTAGGAGTGGAAGTGAGAGAGAAAAGCTGCACGGCCGACGCAGGAGGGGCCGGGGTCTCCACAGCCAGAAACCTATAAGAAATACACATACATTTTTTTTTGTTTTAGAAATAAATTATTTTACAGGCACTAACTTCATTATTTATTTTCTCAAGCATTTAAACATGAGATTTTAGATGGAAATTTCTGAAGTTGAGAAAACCATTTCAGCATTATTTGTCAGCTATTATTTTGCATTATTTATTCAAAACATTATATTTTGAGATATCGCAAGATACAATATTCAACATCTGACTAAAAACGGGGGAATAATTGTTGCGTTAAGCTGTTTTATGCTCAAACTGCAACCTTTGCTATTTTCAGTGCTATGTTAACAGCGAATAGCCACAGCTTACATACATTTTAGCAATAATCAACTTTAATTTAATTGTTAATGCTTTTTATAGGCACACAGGAGCCAAACAAGCACTAGCTTACTGCAAGTGTCCATTTTTTTCACCCAGCTGAACTTGCATGAACGCTTTTAGGTGGGAAGTAGGAGATTCTGAGTTTCTGCACATCCATTCTTATGCAGATGTTTGGGCGCCCTGGTTAAATTCCATGTTTTGTTGACTTAAGTGTAAATAAGTTTACATCCTCTACAAAGAGCACAATTCTGCACATTTTAATGCACATATTGTAAAAAAAATAAAATAAAACAAAATGTGGCCTGTGCAAAAGTTATGGCAAATTTCATATGGTGGTTTTATTTTTTTCAATTATGTTAAATTTAGCAAATACATTTTTATTTTTTTTCTCCTGACAACTCAATGAAGAATATATTACAAATATATTATTGCTGTCCAAAGACAAACATGTTTTCATTTTTTTCAATTTTTTTCTGTTTTTCTCATTTTTTTCGTGTTTTAAAATTTTTTTCTGTGTTTAATTTTACATTTTTTATTGTGTGAAAATTTCATCGTAAATGGACCAAAAGAAATGCTGCAAAATTACTTGGAATAAAATTTCTTTACATTCATTTTTTTTTTATTTAATTTATTAGGTAAGTTTTTGCCTTCTGTAAAGTTACTATTTTTTTTGTGCACAGCAATGAAGTATCATTGATTAGAAGCACCAAACTGTAAGTCTGTTAAATGTGGGCCATGAAATTTGATCTCACCTGTCATTGAGGTTCATCCTAACGCTAGGAGTGGCTGGTTCTGCTGGAGGTTTCAACACAGTGATGGGTGAAGCTGTAGCCACTCTCTGAGGAGCAGGGGCCGGAGCAGCGGAGCTCTCTGTGGGGGGCTTGATGGGGGGAGCAGTGAAGGAGAAAGAGGAAGCGGTTGGGGCGTCCGTGGAGGGTTTGGGCACAGCGAAAGAGAAACTGGAGGAAGAGGGAAATGCAGAGGCAGAGGTGGAGGTGGAAGAGGGAAAGGCTGAGGTGGAGGAGGAAAAAGCTGAGGTGGTGGAGGAGGAGAAGGAAAAGCCTCCAGCAGAGGAGGAAGGAAAGGCTGCTGCGGAGGAGGAGGAGCTAAAAGAGAAACCAGAAGGCGCAGTGGAGGCCAGAGGAGGCAAAGTAAAGGACAGGCCGAAGGAGGAGGAGGAGGAGGCTGGAGCTGCACTGGGGGCTGAGTGGGGGGCTGCAGAGGCAGTGGTGGTGGGCATTTGGAAAGAAGGGAAAACAGAGGGAGGATTGGACACAGCAGGTGCTTGGACTGGTGGAGCGACAGAAGACTCTGAAAAGACAGGAAATACATGAAGACGCTGAGTTACAGAAAGAAAAAATAAGTGTGTATAGAAAACGCATAAAAACACTGTATAACAGAATAAACGCAAACAAACAAACGTTTGAATCTAAGGAATCCCAGGTGCTTACTAAGATGTAGCTAGACTGTTGCTATGGTATTCCTGGTGCTTACTAAGATGTAGCTAGACTGTTGCTATGGTATTCCTGGTGCTTACTAAGATGTAGCTAGATTGTTGCTATGGTATTCCTGGTGCTTACTAAGATGTAGCTAGATTGTTGCTATGGTATTCCTGGTGCTTACTAAGATGTAGCTAGACTGTTGCTATGGTATTCCTGGTGCTTACTAAGATGTAGCTAGACTGTTGCTATGGTATTCCTGGTGCTTACTAAGATGTAGCTAGACTGTTGCTATGGTATTCCTGGTGCTTACTAAGATGTAGCTAGACTGTTGCTATGGTATTCCTGGTGCTTACTAAGATGTAGCTAGACTGTTGCTATGGTATTCCTGGTGCTTACTAAGATGTAGCTAGACTGTTGCTATGGTATTCCTGGTGCTTACTAAGATGTAGCTAGACTGTTGCTATGGTATTCCTGGTGCTTACTAAGATGCAGCTAGACTGTTGCTATGGTATTCCTGGTGCTTACTAAGATGTAGCTAGACTGTTGCTATGGTATTCCTGGTGCTTACTAAGATGTAGCTAGACTGTTGCTATGGTATTCCTGGTGCTTACTAAGATGTAGCTAGACTGTTGCTATGGTATTCCTGGTGCTTACTAAGATGTAGCTAGACTGTTGCTATGGTATTCCCGGTGGTTGCTAAGGTGTTGCTAGACCATTGCTTTAGTAGCCCAGGTGGTCGCTAAGGTGTTACTAGGTTGGTGCTTTAGTATCCCAGGTGGTTGCTAAGGTGTTGCTAGACTATTGCTTTAGTAGCCCAGGTGGTTGCTAAGGTGTTACACCTCCGGGGCTATGGTATTCCAGGTTGTTACTAAGATGTAGCTAGAATATTGCAATGGTATCCCGGGTGGTTGCTAAGGTGTTATTAGGCTGGTGCTTTAGTATCCCAGGTGGTTGCTAAGGTGTTACTAGGCTGGTGCTTTAGTATCCCAGGTGGTTGCTAAGGTATTACTAGGCCGGTGCTATTGTATCCCAGGTGGTTACTAAGATGTAGCTAGACTGTTGCTATGGTATGCCAGGTGGCTGCTAAGGTGTTGCTAGGCCGGTGCTACAGCATCTAAGGTGGTTACTAAGGTGTAGCTAGACTGTTGCTATGCTTCTCCAGGTGGTTGCTAAGGTGTTGCTAGACCATTGCTATGATATCCCAGGTGGTTGCCAAGTTGTTGCTATGCTGGTGCTACAGTATTTGAAGTGGTTACTAAAGTGTAGCTAGACCATTGCTATGGTGTCCCAAGTGGTTGCTAAGCCGTTGCTAGGCTAGTAGAGCAACAACCAACACCCGTTGTTTCAGATGAAGCGTAAACAAACTTGGCTGCCTCTTACTGGCTAATGGTGGTCTCTCTCCGTCAAGTGCAAGGCTGCCGGCAGCGGTGACCAGCTGTTTAACTCCGGGGTTCAGGTTAAGTAGAGAGAATGGACAGAGCACTCCGTCAGTGGAGAGGATCAGCAGTGTCGGGGCCGGTGGCAACTTCTTCTCATCCGCTAAGGATAAAAACGATGAGCTAAGTTTAAAGTGACAGTTCCGGCAAAAAATCTAGTTTCACAGTTTTCCTTCTTATCCCAAGCAACAGTCAATCAGTCGAGACATGCTGCTTAACAATTTCCACATATGGACATTATGGACTGGTGAGTGAACAGTACTTTTAGAAAATGCAGTCTTCCATGATATAAGCCCTTTAAAAGCAAAGAGATCACTGGAGATCTGGCTTAATCTGAACAGCTTGCTCTGAGAAATTTTACTTAACATGACTGTCAAATTATCACATTCGGTACATTTATTACCCGTTTTAATTGATTATCTTCACTTATGAATCAAGAGGAACTCACATGACTTAATAGTTAATAGCTGATCATTTTTATGCCAAATTTAAGGAAAAAAAATCGATTAAAAATGCACCACATCGCTAAGAGTAGCAATAGCAGATGTCTTAAAGGCTTAAATATTGCCTGTACAGACCACAATTATAGATAACCGTCATACAGTGCCAGTACCCACAAAATCAAGTCCATTAGAGATTGCTGAACAACTCCACACCGTTTAAGGCAAATGTTTGATGATTCAGGCATACATTTAGCACTGATGCTAACTGGTGGGGTATAATCTGTTACTTTAGCTACATTAAAAGCAAACTTCAGACACTGAACGTCTTGAGTATATTTGAAGTAAGAGGGAAACAGTTCTGACAGCTTTTCTGTTAAACTATTGCTTTTTTATTAAGCAATCACAGTAAAACCACATGTACTACCGAACTGAGATCCTTACTTAAGTGAATTTCTCCCTGGCTGGTGTAGTCGATGCCCACTCCCACAGGCAGCGTGTCATCGTTGTTAAGGGTAACAGGTAGTTCCCCTCGGCTCGCGTCCTCCAGCACCCACAGCTCCCAGTTTGTCTGAAAGGAACATGTTAGTTTTGGAAGATTGTTCCCCTTTTTTTGTTTTTCCCTTTTTTGTCAATGATATAGTTACACGCAATTCATTAAGTACAATATGTAGAATTAATATCCTTAAACTGCATTTTCCTGCATCTTCCATTCTAATAAAAAAATTAGGGCATTTTTTTAACTATTATTTGCCATTACTGCTGAAAGCCATATATTAGAAGAAGACACTGTCATTGACGGCCATTAAACAGGCGTGTCCATCAACACTGCTGTCAATCCAGTAACAAAGACGTCCATAAACCAGTTCGGTTACCTTGTCATCTTGTTTAGCGATAATGCTGACTTCAATGGAGGCAGCTGATGCAGCCAGGACGAGATCCCTACGGGACGAAAGAGGAGAAATCAGACATGAAGACTCATGAGCAGTTAAACGGTGTTCAGAAACCAATCCTCTGTAGCCAGTGGCATCATTCCTTGGAGAACAAGGTCAATATGTTTTAAATTTCCTTTTGAAGCTTTACATCTACTATAAATAAAGGCCCCTGTAAAAACCCTGCATATTCTTCTGGCTTCGTAACAGTGCTAAGTTCTTTGGGGTTTGACTGCCACTTGGAATAAAGACCACTGCTCTCACAGCAGTTACAGTCCACAGAAATAAATGTTAATGAATTTCAGATAAACTAAGAGGTAGCTGGTTGTCTTGGTTGCTATCAATGATAATTTACACATATTAACCTTTGTCGCCCACTGTTCTACCGAAAGCTACTGAAATCTGAATGGCTCTCTTTCCACCAAAGCATGTTATGTTTGCACATACAGAAATGGATTAGACCACGTTCTGCTGTTAAGGTCAGAAAAAAAACCAAAGGCATAGGGCAAACCCTTACAAATATTTATTTTATATTTATTCAACATGGTGTCCTGCAGTGCCCATTAAAAAAACCCTATATGCTCATGTCCAACATTGTTTTTATCTTTCTCTGAGGTGCACTTGTGAGGGTTTTGTGTACCAAAAAGCGTTATAAGCCATTTTAACATCATCATTCTCCTTAGAATGAAACAGGCTGCTTTTGTTACTGTGTCTTTAAGACTGATATGTGAATGAGTTCTGTTCTGATTGGTTTTTCAGTAGTGTGGCTCATTCAAAAAGCAACCTGGGCAGAAACACCCCTTTTAACTTCAGTGTGAATGGGCAGGGCTGAACTGCTGTAGGCTCAATTTCACAAAAACAGCTTCACTTCCATATATGGACTGTGTGGACCGGGGAGTGAACGTTATGTCTGGAAACTTCGAAACAAGCCATGGTTACAATCGACCTAAAACTCTTACGTTAAAAAAAAGAAAGGAAAATGTGTTTAATATATATGTGCCCTTTAAGTATTAACGAAAAAACTGCAGAAAAACGAAACATTACTGCGTTTCCATCTCAAGCTCTCATGTTTATACTTGGTGATTACTGCAGAAGCTCTGATTTCTGCACTCTTAAAAACCCAATTAAGCAGCAAAGTTGCTTAAACCAACAGTGAAGTGGTCTTACCAGTCTTCAACGTGGCAAAGGAAGTAGTGGTGCTGCCTCTCTGTGCAGGTGCCATAGACAAGATCGCTGAAGTTCAGGTATTTCTCCTCCCTCTTCTCGTCCTTCTTCTGCACCAACAAAGCAGAAAAAACAGTTCAGAACATGGACCTGCGCTCACCGTTAGTGTTAATTCCCAGTTTGAGAGAAAGAGATAGACTCACAGGAAGTGACACCACCACCAGCTCAGGTGGCGTCTCTGGAGAGCCGTCGGCGGCTGCGTACGCCACCGCGAAGTTAAAGGTGCTCAACCACAACACGTCCAACACTGCAAAACAAATACATGAATACTCGAGTCAAAATCCAGTACAGACAGAAATGATTACAAGCACAGAACAGCAATTACTATCAATACCACTAACACTAACGTTAACACTAAAAATAATAATATAAAAATAATGATAGTAATAAAGTAGAAATAATTCAATGCAATTTCAGACTTGCTTATTTTGGCTACGTTCACATTACCAGGCTGAAGTTGCATAAATCCAATTTTTTGCCCTAATGTGACTCAGATCTGATGTTTTCGGGACTGTGTGGACACGCAAATCTGATCTTTTCAAATCCGACCTGAGTCACTTTCATATGTGGTCCTAGATCAGATACGTATCTGATTTGTGGATATGCGATCTTAATGTGACGCTCAGATCGGAATTCATGTGCTTTTTCTCCCCTGAGCGTGCACCATCATTCAGCATTACCATGGCAACAGCGCAGAACAGAAGTTAAAGCCTGTAAACGGTGGAAAAGCAGCTCATCTCACCTTTTTCTCCTTCGTCTCGCTCTAATAATGAAGCTGAGAGCTGATCTTCATCTGTCTTTGTAGGTCAACGTACATTATAAACATATACATATTTTTTATAGGTCTACAGAGAAAAAGCTGTTTAGGAAATACTGAATGCTGATTTGCTAACTGCCTTATAGTCCTGATGTAAGTAGCTGCTACGATTTTATTATTTTTTATTTTGCACTTTCCACAATAATAAATGACGATTTCGTTATTTTGTATTATTTGCTACTGGCTTAAGCTAGTTGTTCTGAGTCCTGGTCCTGGAGCACCTCCTGCCCCTCACAGTAGTGTTTTCACTGCTCTCCATTCACAGACACTATTTTAATCATAATTTATTGCTTCTCATTTCGTCATTCCAATATCGAATTTTCAGGCATTACATTTTATGTCCACATCGTGCAGTCCAGCGTAAACACAAAAAACGATTTAAAAACCATCTTCCTGGATTACCTTTGACAGGGTTTTCAGAGCTGTAGAAGTTTGGACATGGAATCACTTTCTTCTCCTGCAGAGTCTGCATGTAAAAAAATTAGTAACAGTAAAAAAAAAATAAACATTACAGATAACTACTGACTCAAATCAGACAGAGACGTATTAATGTGATGGGCTGCTTTTTTATGTAATGGGCCGTCAGTATACAGTTCTAGGCTAGATTATTTTCAGTCAGACTTACAGGTGTGTACTGAACGACCGTTGCGTTCTGTTTGCCTGCAGCGACCTGCTTTCCTTTCGGACTCCAGCAAACTGCAGAAGAGAACACAAACACACTGATAAATAGAATTAATACCATGTTTCTTTAAAACATTAACCATGTTAACAATTACACAACACAAACTTTAAACACTTTAACCATTTAACATCCACTCCAGACTCCTTCTGTCCACTTTCGTTTTTATGTTTTTTAGTCTGAGTAGTCCCAGGACGTCTGGAGAACTGTTGGAGCCAGGGCTATCCCCTACAGCTCAAGGCCTGGGACATTATATTATACTGACTGAACACTTAGAATTAAAATAATTATTAGTATAAGTTCTCAATAAGTACCAAAAAGGAAAAAAAACTTCAGAAGCTGAGTTCTTGTGGAAAGAGGGAAAAGACTCTTTGCTTTTTTTTAACATCGAATGGCAAGTGGTCTTCAGGGACCCCGACAGCGAAACCCAGCTTTTGAACAGCTGTTTTTATTGGGATGATGTCACCCCACCTTTCTTATCCATTTTGATGTTCCATTTAGTCCCATTAGATACAAAACCCCTTCATTACTTAGCCCCCCTTATTTCCAAATGTATACAACGCTCCTTTTTAAAAAGCTGGTTTCATCCAGTTCGTACTCGTCCATCCCATCCGACAAGGTCGTTCGTATATGGTATCATGCGAGTTCACAAAGTTCACTCAGACACCTGCATGATAGGGCCTATTGCTTTTCCTATGTTTCCCCTTGGTCAGAGAAATTAACATTCCCTTTTAGCCAATACCTTACCTATCTGATTATTAATTACATGCCCTATCTATTTGATTATTGATTAAGGGTGTTTATTCAAATTTATTCAAATTCTCCCATCAGAACGCAGTGAAGTCACTCACCACACGTGATGCCCACAGAGTCTGGAAGTTGTGCCACCAGGGTAACGCTGTCCGTCACATCCAGAACCATCATACTGCCATCAGACAGACAGGCGGCCAATCGGAACGCTTCTACTGGACTCCATTTAAGGTCCTGCACCGAAGTGTCCGGTGCAGCGCTCGGTTTAAAGGAAGCAAAAGGCCTTTTTTCCTGTCTGGTCTGCAGCAAAAATGTGTTACAAATAGAAGAAAAGGTTTGAACACTGTTGGTCAAATAACATGTTCTGTTGATTTTCTAAGTGTAAATAAGTGAACACATCCTCTACATTAAACACAATCTTTTTTACCCAATTTTCTGTGTATTTATTTAAAAATTTTGGAAAAAAACCCCACAAAATTCTAAAATTTAAAACGTGCCATAATTTTTGCACAGGCTATATTATGTTTTATTTTTCCACCAAAACAGTAAAATTCAACACGGAAACAGTAATTATGCACCAAACTGTGCAGAAGTGTGTGATCTGGAAAGGATGTTTTAACTTATTTTCACTTAGAAAACAAACATGCAACTAGAGCAGGGGTGCACAAACTTTTGCACACGACTGTATACAAGCATAACAAAGTTGCACTCTCCAAAACACACTTCACAACACACAAATCAGAAGTTTGCCACTTAAACTGCACAGAACAGCTTGGGGGGGTGGGGGGTTGCTGACTTGTATTCCTTACTCTTATAAATTAAGAATAAGGTGAAAGTCTCAGAGTTTAAGGATCTGAGTTTAAGAGGTGCTGTAAGGGCGGGCGACACATCAGAAATACAACATCATGATACTTGATCAAATTTTCCGGTTATTTTTCCTGCTATATATTATTATTAAATAACTACTTCTTAACCCTTGTGTGGTGTTGATGTTGTTGTTACTCAGTGGTCTGGTGGACCCACCACATTACTGTTTTTAAAGCAATACAGCCATAACAATTTATGTAAAGGTACCAGATGTTTAAAATATTACAAGTGGCCAGTGTAGGGTTCTCCTTTAGCAGCTGTAGCCAGTCAGCAGCCTGTCCATGTTGCCAACCCTCATAAACACGCATACATATACAAACACACACATGTAGGAGCAGAACAAAGTGAAGGACACAGCACCTCCATACTTTAATTCCTCGCGGGTTCAGCCCAACACCACATGTGTAATATAAATGTGTAGGGGGTGAACAGAGTGAAGACACTGAAAATGTGTTATTTTATATGTTCTTCACAGAAAAGGAGCAAAGACCAAGAAATCTGAGGTTGAAATAATAATAAATCTCATCATTTTTTTTGGTAAACATTGAAAATGGGTCCCAGAGACCCAACACCACACAAGGGTTTAGGAAAAGGAACAAAAATCATTGCGATATGTGATTGTGGGCGGACGCTGACCTTCATGTATGGATCTGCCTACGGAGATACTTTAATGTTTATGTGCTTATGTTAATGGTTAAGTGCAGAAATCTACATTTATCCGCATTAACATTACAGAAAGGTACAAAATATATTTGTAGAAGGTTTCAATTCTAGTAAAATTAACAAAATGCCGACGACCATTAGTAACTCAAAATCAATTAAACGTTCTGCTCTTCTGGAATAAAATAAATTATCAGTAAAATCTAAACATTTGATTTTCTAAAAATAATTATCAACTGATACTGATATGCTGCTAACATCTATGGGGAAAAAAACACAGTAGGCTGCCATCCAATCACCTACTTAGGAACTATGCTGTTTACGTAGTTACTCTACACTGTTTACAGACTCCATATAACTGGTCTAAATCTGTCTTTTATGGTCCATGTAACTGTTCACTTGTACACAATCAATTCCTCAGAAAACAGCATCGTTATCACACTGTCAAGTTGTTTTTTGCTTACTACACTGTTATTTCAAAACAGAGTCAGCTTCTATGTCATTCAGAGCCTCAGTCCAATTACCTTGTTAAAGAAGGTGCGGACATCGTAGAAGTCCAGAGTGAGAGGGGCTTCCTCACTCGCTCCACACACAGACAGCGTGAGCTCATCACTGCTCAGGGCGAGGTGGTGCATGGAAAGATCCAAACACACGGCCTGGCAGTCCACATCCTCCACTGAAGAGCAGAAACAGTGCAAGAGTAGATTTACACTCAGGAGCAACATAAAGCTTTGAAACTGCATCGAAACTACTTTGAAACTAGTGTAAGGAAATAAAAATGTCAATGTTTTTATTTTGAAAATGTGTAGCTACTGTGGACAGTAAAAAAAAAAAAATACACTGTCAGGTAGTCAAGTGTTAGGACTTCTATTTTAAAAATACTAAATTTTATTAAAAATGTGAATCTACTGTAGGAAAAAATATCCATGAGCACCAATGTTTTTTTACTTTTATTTTGGAGGAGTGCACCATTTTTGCTCACTGCAAAATACACAATTTTTTTTTGTTTTACAAATCAGAATACATGAAGTCTGCCCCTTAAACGGCTCATAGGCACACACACACACATACATACATATATATATATATATATATATATATGGGGTGGGAATCTTTAGGCACCTCACGATTCGATTCGATTACGATTCAGAGGGCTGCGATGCGATTATAAAACGATTATCGATGCATCTTTTTTTCTATATAGCATTTATATTTTCTCACTGTGTGAGCTCAAGTTTCGAGTTCAAGTTTCAAGTTTATTTGTCATTTGCACAACTTGTCAGGACCTTTATGCAGTGAAATGCTTGTGGTGAGGCTCAGAATCACTCTATAGAAAGTAAATAAGTAAAAATATAAATATAAGAAAAAACAACTGAAATATATTAAATGTACACAGAATATACACAGAATATAGAGACAATATACATTTCAAAGTGACTAAGTGACTCGGTGTTATTGTTATTTAAAGTGACTTGGTACTTTTAAAGCAAAGTATTTGTAATGATCCATAATGAATTTACTTCCAATATCTTTTTTAATAAATCAAATGGAAGTTATCTGGCAAGTGAACTAGAAGGCTGTCATTCAGTGCCTTTGGAGCATGAGAAGCTGCTGTGATAAAATGCGCAGTTACAGTGAAATAAGATCCAGTGTCAGTGGATCTCCACGCAGCACATGTTACAGCTATTTTACCCGTTTTCTTTAGTGATTTTATAGCTTCAGTTTTGGTCTCGTTGTAGAGACGGGGGGGGGTCGCTGTGTCAGTAAAGTATCTTTGAGATGGGACGTGTGCAACACAGCGTGAAAGCCCTGTTTCGCAACGACTGAGAACCGCCGCGCAGACTGCAGGTCACAAAGCAGCGATGCGTTATTCGCATTTATAAGCAGCATAGTTGGTTTCCTGATACATTAAATCTGCAACGAGAGACTGTCACACACTAAAAAGTGGCGAAGCTGAAGTCAGCTTCTCTTTCAAATTCTCCCATGCCACCTTAAATGGTGCCGCATTTACATTCCTGGATTCATGGAACGGGTAAATTCGAACAAGAAGCTGGAGAATAAGAAGCAACTTCAGCCTCGTAAAACAGTCGAAGGTTGAGAGAGGTTTAACTGACCTACTTCTGAGGAAAAGTTTTCTGGCGGAGATGGAGGAAAGCGGCTATAGCTGAGCTAAGCTGAAGCTTAAAGCAGAGCAAAGTCAGTCTGCGTTTTCGTTTATATTGTTTAGTCTATACTAGGACATTAACACACTGAGACATACTGGAAATTAAATGTTGTGGCTCCCAAGGTGGTTTGACTTTGTTGAAAGGCAAAATGTCTCTTCTTATCATTTGTGATGTGATTCCTGACCTAACCTGGCTTAAATGCAGAGGGAGCCGGTCGGATTTCTCGCTGTCCACTTGTGTTTTTGTTGTGTGCCGCCATAGACTTTCCGGGCGCTGCACTTCCGCACTTCCAAGTTCTGCCTTTTGCGTTCCGTAAACATTACATTATAAATTAAATATTTAGAAAATTGATTTTTGACATTTGTGAATCGATTCAGAATCGTTCACGTCCACATCGCGATGCATCTAAGAATCGAGTTTTTCCTGCACCCCTAAAATTATACATACATATATATATATATATATACACATATATACATATATATATATATATATATATATATATATATATATATATATATATACATACATACATACATACATACACACACACACACACTACTTTGGGGTCATAAATTAACTGTAAACCTAAATAACTGCTTATTCTCTGTGGTGGGGCTGGGCTTAAAAAAGCTGCATATTTCACTACAAACAGAGCACAACGAGTCATGTTTAGCCGGGTTTTAGGCAGCACAGTTTAAAAATACACTGCATTCATAATTTTGGTCCTATTTTTTAAAATGTGGCACTACTTTGTTCTAACTTATCAGAATGCAGAAAAAATAAATCATGATTATAATAATATATATATATAACAAAAAGTTAATTAAGTATCCCTGATTTTAAATTTTTGCCATATTGCCCAGCTCCACTCTGCGGATCCTAAATGAGTTTGATATTATTTCTGTTTTGTTTTTCTTAATTTTTTTTAACAAATAACATAGAACGTCCCACCAGCAGTGAGCAGAAGGATCTGGCATAGCGGAACGCGGCGAGAAAAAGTGCAAGGGGATGCGCAAGGTAAGCTGCTAACAGGCCACTCAGTTTAAAAGGTCTTACCTATTTCATTGGTATTTCCTTCCACTCTTGCAGCAGAGATGATGTCTTGGGTGTAAAACACCTTCAGCGTTCTGTCCTGGCCAACAAACGTCAGGCCGTACTTGTTTGAGATGGCAAGAAGGCTCGAGCGCTCCTTGGGTAAGTCATCAGGAGAGTCAAAGACACGGATTTTCTTCATCTGACGAAACTGAAAATCCTGTCGGAAAGAGAACATCAGAATTGTTATAAATGTAGGGTGAACATATCACATCTTTCAGCTTTTATTTTCCCACTGACGTCCACCAGCGTATCAAAAACAGAAATAACTTATTTCTAACAATGTTCAAACTCTCTTTATCCCCTAGAATTTAACAGACTGTTTTGGTTACTGTGCCTTTATAGGGCTCATACGTTGGAAAACAATTTTCCTGATTTTTCCAAAAAAGTTGTGACACTGGTGTAAAATGTAAATAAATGTAAATAAAAACTGACTGCAATAATTTGCAAATCTCATAGACCCATATTTTATTCACAATAGAACATAGAACACGTATCAGATGTTGAAAGTGAGACATTTTACCTTTTCATGAAAAACAATAACTCATTTAAAACTTGATGGCAGCAACACATCTTAAAAAAGTTGGAACAGGGGCAACAAAAGACTGGAAAAGTAAGTGGTACTAGTAAAAAACAGCTGGAGGAGCAATTTGCGACTAACTCACATGACTGGGTATAAAAAGAGCATTTTAGAGAGGCAGAACCTCTCAGAAGCAAAGATGGGCAGAGGTTCACCAATCTGCGAAAACTGTGTTTAACAACTGTGGAACAATTTCAGAAAAATGTTGTCTCAGGCAAAAGTGAAGACTTTGGATATCCCACCATCTACAGTTCATAACATCATCACAAGATTCAGAGAATCTGAAGAAATCCATGTACACAAGGGACAAGGCTGATGGTCAATATCGGATGCTTGTGATCTTCGGGTCCTCAGACGGCTGCAATGAAAACAGGCATGATTCTGTACTGGAAATCACTGCATGGGCTCAGGAACCCTTCCAGAAATCACTGTCTGTGAACACAGTTCGCCGTGCAATCCACAAACCCAAATTAAAGCTGCATGATGCAAAGAAGAAGCCATATGTCAACACAATCCAAAAACGCAGCCGTCTTCTCTGGACCAAAGCTCATTTAAAATGGACTGAGGCAAAATGGAAAACTGTTCTGTGGCCAGGTTAATCAAAATGTGAAATTCTTTTTAGAAACCACAGACGCCGTGTCCTGCGGACTCAAGAGGAGAGGGACCATCCAGCTTGTCATCAGCGCACAGTTCAAAAGCCTGCATCTCTGATGGTATGAGGTTGCTTTAGTGCCCATGGCATGGGCAGCTGACACATCTGGAAAGGCTCTATCAATGCTGAACAATATATAGAGGTTTTAGAATAACACATGCTCCCATCCAGACAGCGTCTCTTTCAGGGAAGGCCCTGCAAATTTCAGCAAGACAATGCTAAACCATATACCGCATCCATCACAACAGCATGGCTTCGCAGAAGAACAGTCCGGGTGCTGAACTGGCCTGTCTGCAGTCCAGACCTTTCACCAATAGAAAACAAAGAAGACCCAGGACTGTTGAGCAGCTAGAATCCTACATCAGACAAGAATGGGACAACCTGCCTCTCCCAAAACTCCAGCAATTTGTTCTCCTCACTACCCAGACATTTACAGACTGTTGTTAAAAGAAGAGGGGATCCGACACATCAGTAGGCGTGGCCCTGTCCCAACTTTTTTGAGATGCGTTGCTGCCATCAAGTTCTAAATGAGTTAATGTTTTAATAAAATGGTAAAATGTCTCACTTTCAACGTCTGATATGTATATCCACCTATTCAATCTACAGCAGTTAGCTCCGCCCCTTCACAGTGATGTTATAAGGAGTGTTTCAGCTCAGACTGAATGGGCGGGGCTAAACTGCTGTAGGCTGAACAGGCAGATGTATGCAAATATGCTGGTTGTCATGACATCATTAAAACAATTAACTCTGTTTTTTTTCCAAAGATTACGGTGTTTTTCCTCTAAGCGGTGTACGGTACGTCACAAATCTGTCATTCCATATTTTGTCGTCATTTCCAAGCCGGAATGGGTCAGAATCGCTGACTGAGACTAAAATAAAACCAAATGCATTAAAAAAAAACAATAAATCAGAATTTGAAGCTTCTCCACTGCTGCTACTGTTGTTTATGTTTACTGTAAACACTAGCATTGCGTGAGAAGTCATGTGATCATCTCAAGAGAACCCATTTTGCAACACTTTATGCGGTGGGAAACGGACACAGGTACTCGAACAGTGTACGGATAGCTGTAGGATCAGATTAATAAGCGCACACATAAAAATGACAGTTCTTCAAGCGTTATTTAGTAAAGAAAATGGTTCTAGAGCCATGAACCCTTTTCATGATTAAATGGTTATTTCCATGGTGAAATGGTTCTTCAGACTGATGGAGAATATGCTGTAAATGGTTCTATACAGCACCAAAAAGGGTTCTTTTATCATCTCAAGCTAGACATAGTAAGTACAGAAGAACCCTTTTTGTTGCTATGGAACCCTTTACAGGTTTACATATGTTCAAGTGTAAGTATAGTTAAAGGGGAACTCCACCCACCTTTCAAAAATTCTGCATAATTAAACGGTTGAGATGTAAACAGAGTCGTTCAGAGTGGTTTGGTGCGGAATGCTCTGTTCTACAGAAACTTAAGAGTCAGTATTGTTCGCAGTGGTGGTGATAGGAACCAGACGTCCACTTTTAAAAGCTGTTATGAATACACTGCCTGATGTCGGACACAATGATTTATGATAGTTTCGTGATGAAGTTTTGGCTTAAAATGTATTCTAATCCATTTATGTCGGAGGGATACATGAAGGAGGCAAAAGAGTCCCCAAAGAAAACTTGCCTATTTTACCATCATCAACATCCCATACAAAACTCAGAAGACACGTGTAGGTTCACTGCCGGCTTTGGACAGTAAATAAAATGTCTATATTTGTGTTGTAGTCATGGTGACCGCTCGTTCCTATCAGCACCACTGTAAAGTCATCTGAGTCCCTGTGATCAACCGTTTCACACCAAACTACTATGAATCTCTCTGTTTACATTTGAATTATGCAGAACTTTCGGGAAAAAAAGTTACCCAACGTTATGTTTTCTTGTGGACGCACAAAACCCGAGTAGTGTCGATAAATGTTGAGAAGTACTGCTTTTTAGTAGCTGTTAATAAAGTCTGATATTTATCCGACAAATTCTGATTAATCTCATTTATCTTCGGAAATTCCTGGGCGCTGCTAGCAGGCTAGCCTGCGTTAGCTTCAAAAAGTCCACTCTTGCGGTCATTAACGGGAACCTAAACGACTTCCAAACGTTTTTTCAACATTTTGCAACATTTAATTATTGTTTTTCAGTTTTCTAAAACCATCACAAAGCCTGACAGAATGTGTTCAGGCGCTGTTACATCAGTTAGCCGCACCAGGCTAACAATTATCAGCTTCTTGTTCGAATTGTCCCGTTCCACCTTAAACCATGCAGCAGTTAGGTTCTGCCGCCTCAGGCACCCGAGTGTAACTGCTGCGCCATTTAAGGTGGACCGGAGAAGTTCTAACGAGAAGCTGGCGAACGCGCTAACAGGCTAAACACGCTTTACCTTCATTTCCCTCTCGGGGATGGAGTACGGGTCGTCCCCCATTTTCAGCCTTCCTTAGTTTAAAAGCGAGTTTAGGAGAATAGTTGAAAGGAAAAATATCCCCACAGCTTTCAGAGTCTCCGCACAATCCCCTCCAGTTCCATTTTCCAAGAACAGAAACTAAAATGACAAACTGGCGCCACGAGAAAGCGTTTCCCTGCTGAAGCGAAGCGCATTTCCAAAATAAAAGTTACAGCTCCAGCTTGTTGGTGCGTTTTGGTTTTATCCCCAGTAGTAGCTTCTCATTTTCAAAATAAAAGCTTCATCACGAACGCCTTGAGCACCTGTTTTGCAACTGCAAATGCCCTGTCGTGATTCTGAAAAAATGGTTTTAAGTCTCTTTCTGCTCTCACATCTATCAACACCCCCCACAGAACCCCGCTTTTACTGTTTAAATTACATAACAAAGTACTGATAAATGGCAATGTATGGATTTCAAATATATGACGTTTAAACTTCACCTACATTCCATACATAACTGTATTAGTCACATATGGACATATATGCTTACTTATTTGAAATTGGCTAGGACATATATTTCAGCCCTATATTAACTTTTGCAAAAATATATGTGTAATATGTCTATTTAAAAAGATAAAACAGAAAATATTAGTCGTATATAGACAGAATGCATCACTCATATATTCTAGCTTCATATTATATTATATATATTTTTTGTATTTCATTTAGATTTTTTGCTTTTTCCTTTGGCCTATGTATCAGACAGATATCAGGCATACAGAATATGTATGTGTTCACTCACTTATGTATGTTCACTACCTATATGACCATATTTTTTAAAACATACCCCTTCATGATACATGTGCAAATATGACTGTGTATCAGATTTCTACACTGAGCTCTATATGTATCTGTAAATAACCTTTAAAAAAATGGTTTGAGGAGGCTATTGATCAGGATGTCTGGCTTTCTATCTGTTCAAATGTATACCCTAAGTGCACTTCAATTAATATAAACAAACTCAACTTTAAGGTTATTAATAGATTTTATCTTACACCTTTGCGCTTATATAGGATATTTCCAGAAAGATCTGACCTATGTTTCAAGTGCCAATTACATAAAGACACTTTTATTCACTCTTTCTGGACCTGTGATAAAATCAGAACATTTTGGGAAGGGGGGCATTCAGCTATACAAGAAATTCTTAATATACAGTTTACATTATGCCCTACATTATATTTACTCTATGGCCAGTTGGAAGATACATTTCACTATAATGCTACAAAGATATTTATTCTGCTGGTTTATATTGCTAAAAAATGTATTTTACTTCTTTAGTTTTTTCCTCAGGTCCCACCTCTTAAACTGTGTCTTGATAAGTTAACTTTTGATTTACACCAAAAGACAAATATTGGCAAATATGGTTTCCTCTCTGGAATAATATTGATAATTTATCTTAATTTTGTACTTATCCATGTTTTTTTTTGGTTGTATAATCATCCTTAGATCTTCCACTCACATGGTCCCTCTGCATTTCCAAACGCATTTGTATCTGTGAACTGTTACCTGACAAGTGTCTTAATAAAAATATGAATAAAAAAAAAATGGTTCTATATAGCACCAAAAAAGTTTCCTCTATTACCACAAGTCAAATGCCATTTTTTGTTACAATACAGAAATTTTTTTTGATCCTTAAAAGTAACAGGTTATCTATTTTATCCCATTTTTCCTTTTTTTGTTGTTTCCTTCATGTTGTCTTACCATACAATGGCTATGCATTTTTCAAAATAAAAGCCTTAACACTGCACCTGTCAGAAACTTTTTGAGGCTTGCGGTTCTTAACAGTAGCTGCTTTTTTTTTCCAAAATAAAAGCCTCAGTACACAGTTTGTCAGGTGCTTCCAAATAATTCCCCTTGCACATTATCTTTAGATATCTTGTTTAGTGAAACTGTGCTCTTATACACTGATCAGGCATAACATTATGACCTGTGTCTGTGTCTGACCCACTCAGACCAGCGCAACACACGCTAACACACCAGTGTTACTGCAGTGCTGAGAATGATCCACCACTCAAACAGTACCTGGTCTGTGAGGGTCCATGGGGGTCCTGACCACTGAAGAACAGGTTAAAAGGGGGCTAACAAAGTATGCAGAGAAACAGATGGACTACAGTCTGTAACTGTAGACCTACAAAGTGCACCTATATAGTAAGTGGAGCTGATAAAATGGACAATGAGCGTAGAAACAAGGAGGTGGTCATAATGTTATGTCTGATCGGTGTAGCTATAGTTGTTCCACTAAACAACAACGAAATCAGCTACTGCAAACAACAACACATTCACACTGGCAAACATGTTCTGTTGTGAATAAGGACCTCAGCAAAGGTTTTGGTGAAATAAGGATTTTTATTAGAAAGCAGACTTTTTCAGTATTGCATTGGAAAAAGAATCAGTCACTTGAACTACACAATGTCAAACCAAACCAAATTTTGGTGGTGGAGAAATCCAGAAAAAAAGGTAATGGAAATGATTTATTTATTATAACATAGTTTGTGGCATTTTGCATTAGAATAAAGTGTCATTTAAAGGCGTAAACAACTGTTTGAACAGGACTTTCATTTTTCTCACTTTAGAACACTGAAGCACATTTATTTTTCTCATTCGCATCGTATTGCCATACTGAACAAAGCTCGGCTGCTTTAAGCGTTCCGGGCCTCATGGTAAGCAGTTAGCCTAAAAGGCGTAGTCGGCCAGTCAGGTATAGCTGGCTGTTTTACAGCCTGAGACCAGAGCTGGCATTACTTTTACAACAGTCAGTTGTTGGTATGGCAAGCTGGTCATACAGCAAAAGACAAGGCCAACTACTGATGGCCTAGTGGACACTGAATCCCCATTCAGCTGAACTGCTCAATGAGAGAGACGCTAATAGAACCTGCAGTAGCTCAGGCACGCGGAGGCCAAGCAAAGCTGGAAACACAGCAGGAGCTTAGCTAATAAGTGCTAATACTTCTCCCAGAAAATTAGTGCACGTTCTTTCTTTGATTGTCTGCGCTCTGAGCACGTGAAGGTTGCTTGCTTAAAACCCTACTGGTAGGTTTGGCTCACCTTCCCCCCCAAATGGTAAAGTCTATAAAGTGCTGGCATTATTTTTCAAAGACAAAGACACACAGCTGGGCACAAATACAGACGTCCAAATACACAGTTCAGTCCTCCTGACTTCATATTGGCTTATGCTGAGGGGTCTTTGGGGTCTTTAGTTCAGATCGAAAGCGTAGTTTAAAAGAGCGGTGAATGAAAGTGATTACCCATCAGTTGGCATTACGATAACGGAGCTGTACCTTTTAAAAAGTGGTTCTTTAAGGGTTCTTTAGTAAAGGAAAAGGGTACAAATAGAACCATGCCAACCATGCCTGGTTAAATGGTTTCTAAATGGTACTAAATAGCACCAAAACAAGTCAAAGAACCTGTTTTGTTGTATTATACAGAAGCAAACTTGCTAACAGTGCATGCTACTGGTAGCTACTGGCTTCCATTTGTTGTTAGCCATATGAGCGTGCTTGGTTGAGCTAATCTTCTAATATTTATTGTACTTTTTATCAGGTAATCATATCGTAAAGGCTGATTTATACTTCGGCAACGAAGAATGTCAACATACAGGCGCAGAGAAAGGGTTTATGGGTAAACAGACATGAGCGAATCTCAACTCAAGTGTTAGCGGTCTGGTAGCGTCAGAGTAGCACTAGACCCCAAACCAGAACTAGCTTGAGGATCGGTTTCTGCATAATATTGCCACAAGTGATCCTCAATTATAGTGCAAAAATTGCTTTCCCACAGTAGCCCTCATAAACCCTTACATATTTTCCCTTTCAATAGCCATGTCTTTCAAAATAAAAGTCTCAACCTATCTTGCCAGAAACTTCTATGTTTTTTTTTTTTTCTTAAAATTTTCAACATAAAATTTTGATGTACATTCTGCTTTGGACACGCCCACTCGTACTCACATTCACGTTATGTGCGGGTCTGCTGACAGACACCTATGCAAACACGTGCACACATTTGCATATGCGCAAATGCAGAAGTATAATTCAGCCTGATCTGTTTCCACAATGTATTCTGTAAGAAATATCTGTTCTCGGACTAATGAAAGTCTTTAGTGTCATGGATGCATTTTCGTCTGAATTTCGATAACTTACACCAATCAAATTTATCAACTAATCACAGGGTAGATGATTTTGGAACATTTCAGAATTATTAAAACAAGACAAGCAACAAGCAAAATTACACAAATGTGACTGGAGGAAGTATTTACACAATTAGAAATACAGGTGATATAAACTAGGGACGCACCGATATGGGAATTGTGGGCCAATGCTGATGTACAATTTTTTTCAGGTGCTTTAGCATTACACAGAAATATAACATTTATTTCTGCAGAGGTTACAAATGCAGTAAAATGAATAAAATGCATACATTTTAGTGCAGTGTCACCTAAAAACATTCAATACTATGATAAACACATCATCAAATATCAGTTTGAAATGTCGATCGAACCTAAAAGTCTTTTTTTTAAAGCAATTATTTGGTGATTTCACCGTGTATCCCTAAAAACAATATACCACGCTTTTCTTGGGGACTTTAAATTTGAAAATAGGGCCTGAACTTGTGTTTTCCCCAATAAAGAGTGCATACTAATATTATAAAAAAACTGATTCTAACATCTCAAAATGGAAAACGCTCTCCACTCTAACTGACCCTCAGCCAAAAACCAATGATGAAACCAGAGTACCTCCTGAACAGCATCCTCCAGAGCTGCCAAACAAACCAGTCAGTGATTCACATTCACAGCTCTGCTCATTTCTGACGGGGTTTCATTTGGTTCGGTGCCGTTAGAGAACAGACAGTGGAATACGAAGACAAAAGGAGCCCGGAACTGATTGTAAACAGGCTCCGAAAAACTCGACCCTTTGTTCACATACCTCACGAGTGCACGCTTTCGAGGAAGATACAACCAGCGTCGCGCGGCTGTGCAAAAGCAATCATGTAAGCGATTAGTGCCAAATATTTAGAGACCATAAAGGTCTTATTGAAGGAGTAGCATCTACACCGTACAACATAAACATATAAATTAGCCTGTCTCGCACTCCGGACAGCATTATGCTACCACAAAACAGAGCTTTCCACTCTAACAGGTTAGCAATCAACATTCTCTGAGGTTCTCCTCAGCATCTAGTGCAACATTTGAACATTTTAT